GACTTTCAAGTGATTATTTTTAGAATAAAAAGCCGCTTTAGATAAAAATAATTATACAATTGCAAGCACTTTTTCTGCTGCTCGTTTTGTTTGTGAATAAAATGAAATATAAATACAAATTGATAAATCACGAATAAATACACAAAATATGTTCTGATAGATGCTAAATTAATTGATTTGTTTTATGTGAATTAAGTAAAGTTTAACAACAAATGCTTTTGGAACCACATAAATAATGAATAATTTATAAAGCACATTCAAAAGGACATTTAGCCAATATGGATATGATAATGACATTACAATATGCATACCATATATAAGTAGCTCTGTTAATACGTATTACTTCCCACTCCAGCGAAATCAGATGGCATGGTGGTAAATTGCCATAAATCCCATCAGCTGCATATGCAAATCGAGCGCATGCAGATGTTGCTTTTGCCGTTGCAGCTGATGATGCTACATTAAATTTCAATTTTGGGTTCATTTATCGTGGCTGTGGGCGGCTGGCACGGAAGTCACAATGTCAGTGTCTGAACTTAGCCAAGGCCGCCCAGCCCAGCGGAAAGTTTACCCTTCAACTGTGCGAAACTTGGCGGTTCAGCAACGTAGCCTCGTTTACGCAAGTGTTCCACCTTCACCGCCCTTCCCCCTTCCCTGCTCCCCCATCCCCCTTCCACCGCCAAGTAAATATGCAGAAAACCAACAAGAGCAATAACTGCTCTACACAAACACCAGCACACACGCTCTGCGGAGATACACACACGCACACCCAGGCAAGTGCATAAAAATTAAGCAAACGGCACTTGTAACTGGCAACAAGAAGGACAGCAACAGCAACAGCAACAATGGCAGCACCAGCAACAATAACAGCAGCAACAGCAACTACACACAAGCGTTTCCTAACTCGTGCACCGAAAAAAAGAGATGGAGGTTCAATAATGTACTTTAAAAAAAAGTATACTATCATATTATTTTATTAATTGTAATAATTTTTAAGAACATATTTTTTTAACTTTTATTTTAAAATGATTCTCAAAACTACAACATTACAAAATTATAATTTATTAAACTTTTTATTAGGCTTTACAACATTTGTAACTTAACTTTGTTATTTAAACTGAATACCCAGACAAGTTGAAAATGCTTAAAATGAGTAGATGATTTGTTGTAAAATTCTTTTTTAAATTTTCAATATAACTGTCACTTTAAGTTTATAATTAATAAATAAACTTCGGAAAGTGTGGAAACAAATATTAAAGTAGATCAAATGAAAACATTAAACTTTTAAATATAATTAGAAAATTACCATCATGTTGTATTTCGAATTCATCCTATAACATTTATGAGAAAATCACGTATGATTCTATTTTTTCTGTGCTTATCTCCGCTCCCAGTTGGCAGCTTGCAGCTCCCGAAATGCAACAGTCGACAGGACGGACTTGGCAACTTCCGCTGTGCGTTGAGCGTCACGCCGGCTGCACATCCTCACCACCAGCCCCCCTCCCCGGAGTCCAAAAACCCACTTCCAGAACCTAGCCCTAACCCAAACTCAAACCCAAACCCAACCCCAAAACTGATTCCAATGCCTGGACGCCCTTCGGGCAGCAGGAACTACAAATGCAGCAAGTGCAAAACTTTTGCCAGCAAGTTTGAGTTTTTTCTTCCGCCGTTCGTGCTTGGCCAAGGGCTGCCGGTTGCCTTTTGCCTCATCTGCGCTGTAGCAACTTTGCCAGCTGAAACTTTAAGCCAGGTCCTATCTCTGGGCCAAGTCTCGAGCGTTGTCGCTGTTGCTGTTGCTATTGCTCTTGCTGCTTCGTACGTGTTTGTGTTCATTACGTACGTGTCCTTTTTGGCATTTTGCGCTAGTTGTCAGCGCCAAAAGCTGCTGGCCAAAAGAATAAGCTGCACTGACACGATAGCGGACTTCCAGCTAACTTCTACAGTCGAACCACCAGTAAAGGGGTGACTTTCGAAGTTTTAAAATGCAGATCAAGTGTTATACGCCATTGAAAGGAATGCTTCTACATCTGGATTTCCTTATAAAAAATATACAATATGTTTAATATTTTACAGTCCTGAATTTCCAAGTTAATGAAGTTTTCCTGTATATTCGACCCAAAAGTGCACAGTATCCGAATCGTTGCAATCTCCGCTTGCGGTGAGTTGAGTGAGCTCAGGACTCGTATTTTTGATGGCAGTAATATTGAGCGGCTGCTTTCATTAACTGAAACCTTAGATGGATACTTACCCGTTTGGAACTTTAACTTGCTTGCACTCATTTTGCGTAATGATTTCAATTATTTCGTAATTAGTGCAGACAGGCAGTAGCCAGGCAGTTCGGCATGCTCGGCTGGCCGGCATCAGGACCTTTCAGGACCTCCTTACTCCCCCACCTGCCCACCTGTCCACCTGTCAGTTGCCCATGGCTGGGGCAGGCACCACAATGCGGCATCAGATTCGAAGGCAACGAAAAGTGCACTTGGCCGCAATTTGCAAAAAGTCTTTACAAAGTCGAAGTTTTCCAGCGCGGTGGACACTCATCTTTTGTGTTCTGGTAAAGTCCATTCAACGGGGCACCTCCGGCGGTGTCAACAACTTCGCAATGAGTTTGTTGCTGCCAGGAACTTTAAGTATTCTTGCTCACCTGCTTATTTTTTCCCACCACTTCTTGTTACCGTACCATGATGTTAACGCGCTTTTACGAGCTGTCTCACCTGCAGCGCTTTAATGAATAGCGTTCAGGTTTATAAACACCTCGACGGAATTTGGCCACAATCCAAAGCAGTTAAGCTCAAAAGCAACAGCACACAGAGCTAAATAGGATTAATAATTGATTTTCTATAAAACAATATAAACGATGTTTGATTGAGGTGCTTAGCTAATAAGATAACTTAAATTTTAATTGTCGGGAAATTAGAAAATATTATATAAAGCTTGTGTATACAGCCTTGTTTATACAATAAAACACTAAATTTAAGTAACAAAAACTTTTTCCGGTGCAGAAGCGTGTAGTGTGGCCTTAGCAAAAGCCACGGCCATAAGCCCTTAATCATTTAAAGCAATTTGCACACTCTCAATGCAATTCAATTAAAAGTTACCCACACACACTGGAAGACTCTAATGCGGGCAACCGATAGATACTTGGGCCACACTCATTTCTGTTTTAATACTTTTAATACCTTTTGAATTGCTTGCCCGAAGTTCGCTTCGTGCGGCTCAAGGAGACTTCAAAAATTGATGCCCAAGCAAACAGAGCAGGATTTTGGACCTGCTGCTGCCTGAATGCCAGCGTCTGCCCCACTCATGTGGCATATTAACTGTCCCCCCTCCCCAATACCCGGATCTCTGGGCCCGTCCCCATCCATCCCTTAACGATTGCTGGAGTGCCACTCGATATTTATTCGATTTATGGAATTTTTTGGCAAAAGAATTTTTTAATAAAACGAATTTTATTGGCATTATCCTGCAGCTATTGCCATTGCTGTGTGCCAGGGAGGAAATTAATAATGCTACTAGGCTAATAAAGGCCCGGGCACACAGGCACGCACCTCCACATGTGTGTGTGTGCAGTGGATATGTCGATGATGTGACACATTTGGGCCACTCGTCCTTTTGGGCTTCCTCCTGCTTCATTTGCCTCCGCTTTGCCAGAAATTGAAAAGTTTCTCGAGTGGCTTTATTATTATTTGCATCGGCTGACTGCTCAAGTTGATGCTATTTAATTTATCATTATCCCGAACTTTGCTGGCAGCACAAATTTCCACTCACTTTCCAGACAGATTTTGTAATTCTTTTCTCCTTTTATTATGACGCTGCCACAGGGCACTTCCTTCGGGGCCAACAGGAAATTAAAAGTGTTGGTAAATATTATTCTGGGTATACTTGGTTCTGTGTGAAAATACAGTGAGTCTCAGTACTTATAAGCCTATGGGTTATAAAATAAACTATCACCATTTCTAAAGTTGGATTTGGAACTGTTTTAATGTTTTTAGATAACGATAATTTGCGATTGTATTGTGGCTCAACAAAACAATAAGCTGTCTTTATAACATCCGAACGAAAAAACGAGCTGATTAAATTTTATGTAGTAGAAAAAAACTTCCTTACTTCATAAATGGCCATCAGTAAATATGGCTTAAATAGGATATTCATTTTAAATTAAAAAAAAAACTGTTAAATATTCATGGCATTATTTCAAATTTATTTAATGATAGTCAAAGGATAGGATAAGACAGAAAATCAATTAAAGTTCAATTAAATAAATAAAGTCCTAGCATTTAAAGATTTTCAAGTGGCAACTGTGGTTACGGCCCATTGACTAATGGCTCTTCAATAACACACTTGTCTTTCGGCTCTTGAACAACCACTAGGCACTTGGCACTCCATTTTCCATCTGTGGAGAGCTACTGTTAATAAGCTTACTTGCAGCCAGATACACCTAGAGGAAAATCGGGTGGATGGGGTGGATGTGAAGTACCGAAATGTATTACACGAATTCCCCTGACGAGCCCTTGGGTCCTGCATGATGTATCGATTTTTTGTTGCCGCTGCTTCTGGGCCATTTGTCGGCTTTTGCCTGTTCCGGCGTTGATAATGTCAATGCGTAATCCATCTCCTGCCCCGAAACCTGCCCACCACCCACCGCCCAACGGCCACTCCCACCCAATTTGGGTGGTGTGAGTGTGCACTTGAACTTTGACATTTCAATGCGCTGACATTTCGACCAGCTACAAACAATACAGACGTGCGTGCGGTCGGAATTGAGCTGAAAAGTTAGTCAATTTAGAGTTGAGCACCGAATCACACACCGATGACCATTTCAAAACCCCCAAAAATATCCAACTTTACACCGCCCAGTGAAGGGATATTCTTGATCCATGAATAAGATATCGAGTGCAGGTATAATACGCTTTTGATAAAACACAATTTTAATAACTTTGACATCAAGTACACATCGAGAAGTTGCATAAACACACACACACAAAACACATACAAATACATATCAAGATAGACATATGTACGCATATATGTGCATACCGAAGCGTATTAGGTTTCAACTGCAGCATTGACTTAATGGCCCTTTCGTACAGACCCACATGTATATATATAGTTGTTCTTGGAGTGGTTGTTGCTCTTGTTGTGGTTGTAGGTTTTGGTTGGTTCACTATCTGCTAAAACTGTAAGTCCGTTTATTTACAAGAAATATACTATACTATATATATACGGCTAGGTACGAATGCGTGTAGCATATAACTGCATATCATGTATCATGGCTTAAACTTTTTGTTGCGGTTTCCTGGTTTTTCCAGTGGTGTCTGTATGTGTGCGGAATATTAGCAACAAAAGTTGAACTTTCGGTTTTGAATTTATGCTAATTTTGCTGAATAAAGTTGGGTGTACTTGCCTAATTAGCCGTGACGTGATGTTATGCAACATTTTTGGGATTTAAGTGTCGTCATGAGTTTTGCAGTGTAAATTCGTTAATTTTTCTGATATTGACTTTTATGTAAATGTACTTATCCAATTGAAATAATTGAGCATTTCGCAGCTTAGGCTATAACTAAACACGTTTAACTAACACAGAGTATGAAAGCGTAAGAAGTTCTTTGGACCCAGCCTATAACCGATTATTTTCGATCTCAGATCACTATTCTGCCAACTTACTTAGGTATCTAGGATTTCTACACGTACTACTCTCGGGTTTCTTTAAGACACAGGGAAGACTTTAGAAATATATATAAATTACATACGCTTAACTTACATAATTAGTGAGTATCAGCTACCATAATTCCAAGTTTCATTTACTCGATTGGTTTCGGTTTCAATTTGCTTTTGTTTTTTTCGGGTTTTGTCTTTTTGGGGCACGTGTGTGTGGTGAGGAATTTTAGTTATTTAGTTACATCTAATTCGGATTGTCACTGCTAGAACATCGTCTCTACTTGCTAATTACATCTTATACAATGCCAATTCCGTAGCGTATTGCGTTCCAGTCGATACTGTCCTTGGCTTCTTCTCCGCCTGACCTTAATTACAAATACTGGTCCTCGTTATCCTTCAGTTGAAATCAAATTTTCGCACTGCGTGCTCTGGCCGCAGCCTTTCGACCAAAGAGAATCCTCTTGAAGGCCCGTCGAAATTCTGGATTGAAGATGGTGTAGATGACCTGGTTTTAAAAAAAAGCGGGATTTCAAAGAAATGTTTAGCAGTTAAAATAATTGTAAACCAATATTAAATAGATTAAGGTTAATGAGGAGATTATTAATCTCTGAATTAAACAAGCGCCTAAACAAAACATTAGTAACACATGGAAGGTCATGGTCTATAAATATCAAGTCATAGTTCTAAAGTTGTATCGCAATGATAATAAAATTTTTTTATTTGTTTCTTTTAATGTCCCATGTTTTTTGATAATTTGACTTTTTTTATTAAATAAATGTTAGGTAATTTTAATACTTAAAATAAATTTATAAATTTTCCAAATGGTTTTTTAAAATTTTTTTTTGAAAAGTCTTTGTATTGATGTAACACGCGATTCTACACTATTTTAAAATTAAATAAAAATGTATGCTTTAAAGATCCTTGAGTTTGTTCTTCTGAAAGATGAAACTTAAGAGACAGTTTAGGCCAAGAAGAGTGGGACAAAGGCAGGTCATAATTTGCATACCGGATTTAAGGTCGAGTTGAAGTAGCCCAGCCAGAGGAAGAGCGATGCCACCGCCGTGTGGATCTCGCACTCCTTGCACAGGCTCATTGTGAGGGCCATCACGAAGAATGGCAGCCAGCAGATGACGAAGGCGCCGGTGATGATGGCCAGTGTCTGGGCCGCCTTCCTCTCCCTCTTGGCCTCCAGTAGCTGTCGCCTCTTGGCCAGCTTCTGGTGCGGATTGGCGATGCTGGCCAGCACTCCGCCCAGGCCCACTCCGGCGTTCTTCCCCGGACTGCTGCCCTCCGTTCCGGCTTCGGCTCCGCCTGCCCCCTCGCCCTCACCACCGCCGCCCACTCCGCCTCCCGGGGGCGAGGTCGTTGTCAGGCAGCCAGCACCGCCCATGGCGATGGACTGGGCCAGCGGCGTTATGGCGTTCAGATGCGAGGCTATCAGATGGTGCTGCGTGGCATGGGCCACCTGCTGCGACAACGTGATGATTTCATTCGCGTTGCTGGTGCGGTACTGCGGGTGGAGCGGGGGTCAAGGGTTATTCTCACACAAACAAAGGGCGTGCGACGAACAAATGACTATGACTACACTACAGCCGAGCTTCATTAGGTAAACTCTCGTACTAAGAACTTAAATTTCGGTTAAAGGAAAATGTGTAATTAGTTCTACGAATTTGCACGACGAAAACGTTGTAATTATGTTACAGTCTTTTAAATAAATATTCCTCAATGGCCTAATATTATATTTTAGGAAGCATTAAAAAAGGTTTTTCTTTAATAGAACAACGAAATATTTGTCAAAGAGCTTTTGTCAATTTAAACTTATAGAAAAATATTATTTCACAAGGCTAAGTTATTCTGTAAATATTAAAAATATATTATTTTTAAGCGAAAATATGGTGCTATTCTAACTAATTAGACGACGGATAATATGTAAAACTATATTCATTACTTTTGATTCTTGGCGATCATTAATTTAACACGAGTTATTTTTACTTAAATAATAACTAGGTCAAGCGTAAAAATAAATATGATTTTAGAAAATTTTCTGTTTATGTAAAGATATCTTTAAATTAAGTGTAAAAAATTTGATTTTACTTATAATTCGACGTCGTTTAATAATGATGATGTACCTTAAAATTGTTACAAAATATAAATATTTTGTATTTAGACTCTCATTCTACCCAAATAGAAAACCAAGAAAAAATTGTCCTTAAAAAAAACACCTAATTTAAGGTGTGGAATTTCCACCTGATAATACTTCTTATTCGAACTAGAAGCTCTACTGTAATTTCAAATTACATCGAAAGACAATAGGCGCACTTACATCGTCCGCATCGCTGGATACGGTGGTGAGTTCGGTGCCGGCGTGACTTTTGTTGTCGTAGTTGCTGGTGCTGAACTCGGTCTCCTCCCGCGTAATGGCCAAGCTGGCAAAGTCCACGGCAATGGCGGCCATCGATCTGGCCACCGCTCCCTCGGATCCCGCCGTGATGTTGGCCGTGTTCGTGTTGCGGCCAAAACATATGCGAATCCGCTTGCGAGGACGCCGCTGCAGCTGCGAGTCCGCCTCCCCGCCCACCGGCGTCCGCTCCCCCGCCTCCTGGCGCTTCCGCTCCGCCCGCCGCTTGCCGCGCTCCTTCTTCAGCTCCCGCACCGTGGAATCGCACTGTTTTCGATAAAAATAAATTGTGCGAGAAGCTTGTACTAAACTTGTTTATGGGCAATGCTTCTTTATGAACTTGATGAAAACTGTTCGGGGAAGCACATTTGGCTTGTGTCAACGTTATAAAAACAAATCAAATGAAAATGTGAAATAATCGAGTTCTTATTGGTATAGTCATTCCATATACACGGACAAAAAATTCTTTTTTTTATTTCATTATTGTATTGCCAAACAAATGAAAATTATAATCAAAAGTTTTACGAAAAACGATATGTTCAAAAATTAATATTTGTATATCATTAAATAATATGTTATTTTATTCGATTTTAATCTATCTTACTATGAATTATAAAGAAGTAAAACAATAATTAAATTTCCAAAGGAGAAATTAACGAATGGGAACTTTAAAAAAAACCATTTCAAATGTAATTTAAAATGATCCTGATTAAATAATGAATTAAGAACAGTGTTGCTACTATCTGCCGCTAAAACAGGGCCACACATTGGGGTGATCATAAATCTCGGTTGGCATTTGTTTGGCTTTCGCCGCAGCGGCTCGCTTCGAGTGCTCACTTGGGCATGCTAATGAGCAGCTGAGGACTTTCCCCGACCTCCAACCGCTGAACTACCACGTTCCCATTCGCATTATTGTTTCTGTTAATGACACACTCATTATGGCAGGCAAGCAAATACACTTCTCGAGCAGCAGCATCAACATCCACTTAGCCAGCCCCCGAAAATATAGATGGCAAATGGCGGAATAGAATAGCAGCATACTTGTGGAATATCTTTATTTGTGCCACTGGGCGTATGAGTAATTTTTGCACTCTTTTTCTTTGGAGGCTGGCTAAGTAGACACTTGGCATTTATCACATGGATTTTGTGAGGCACTTAGCTTCGGCTGAGATTGCCTTGATGTTGATTAACTTACGTCGGTCTCCGTTAGTGTGACATTAAAGGACTTCTGGGCGCGCCGCTGTATGCGCTTCCTGGCAATTATGTAGATTTTCCAGTACAGAAACAGGATAACCAGCAGCGGAACATAGAAAGTGCAACAAGTGGCAAATATCTATCAGAGAAAATATATAAAATTAGTTTTCATTTATGAATTTATTTTATTTTAATCATATTAAATACGTATGTGTCAAATGCAACTACAAATAATTTCAAAGCTAACCCATTTAACTTTGTTAAACTTTCTCTACTGAAGATTGCTGCAATCGGGATTGCTCACCTGATAGCCCACATCCTGCGACACCATGCAGTGCTGCTCCTCAATGCGCTTCATGTAATCCGGATCCTTCCAGCCAAATTGCGGGGCCAAGGAAACAATCAGTGCCGCAAACCAGACGCAGAAAATCATAAGGAAGACGCGACGCGGCGTCCGCAGGTTGTTGTAGTCGATATTGGTCACGGTCCAATATCTGCAACGGAAGGTGGTCCAAATTGCCATCTGTCACACCGGGAAATAGCTAGCTAGACTGGCTGACTGGCAGCACTCACCTGTCCGCCGCAATGGCCACCAGGTGCAGAATGGATGCCGTGCAGCAGAGGACATCGCAAGACGTCCAAATGTCGCACAGTTCCGGTCCCAATATCCATCCATTACTTATCTGTCGGCGGAGCGTTTTCAAAAGGGGCGAAAGAAGAAAGGAGTGACATTTAGCAACACATTGTTTGCCAGTGATGATGCAATTGAAACAATTAGCCGCCCAGCAAACGAGGTTGCCCAGGGCCAGTGTCAACTCTTTGGCGCCTAATTTCATTTGCCAGCATTCCTGCTCAAGTTTCCATTAGGGTAATCGAGTTGGTTCAGCAATAGCAGTGACAGTGCACTGAGCAAAAAATAAGGTATATATATATATCTATCATCTCTATTATTACTAACCAAATTCCCATAAATGTGATAGCTTAAAAATTGGTAATGATTTGTATATCAGCAGTCGTTAAATAAATATCTATAGGATTGTAATGTGAATTAAATGTTTTTTTGTTAATTTGCCCAGAATTTTAATTCAACAATTCTTAAGATAATTTCAAAATATTTTTAAGGAAAATTATGGAAAATGTATAAAAAATGTTGACCATACTTTATCGCTTTATCTTTTAAATGTAAGCTTTTCCGTATTTTTTTATTTCTGTGTAAAGTGAAAGAGAACGACAACTTACCTCGTAGACGGCGCCGAGTGGCATCACAAGACAGGCAACAAATAAATCAGCCACTGCCAGAGATGCAACCAAATAATTGGCAACATTCTGCAAGTTTCTCTCGAGTATAATGGCGGCAATTACGAAAACGTTGCCTGTGGAGAGTAATACACAAAACAGGAACCCCATCAGAAAGCGATAAATTGATAAATTAATATATTTAGTGAGGCGGTAAATGCAGCACTAAGCTTTCCGATTCATTGCCGATGAATAAGTAAACTGCCTCGAATGCAGTTAATTGGAAACGTTGAGTGGCCAAAGTCATTATCTTTTGTGTGTCGTTTTTGGGGCGATGGGGATGGGATGGGAAACTTTCAATGGGTTCGTGCAAAATCAATCAGTGGCAAAGACTTCGTGTCAAAGGAGTCTTCATTTCCCAGCCTAATTGCAGGCAATCGTGCATGTGTCCCACTCGTCCACCCTCCCCCGTTCTCCTCTCCCAGAATCTTTTTGGCTGTCCTCGCCTGTGGGATGCAAATGAGAACGGGATGGCAGCCAGCTCCATCATCGCCATCATCATTGTCGTTGCTTGCTTTGATTAAGCGCATGCAACTTGGCAAATTGTAATTGCCGCAGTGCCACCTCATCTCGCCCACACTTTGGACCAGGCCAAAACCCCCTTTCAATGGCAGCCAGAGTGACGCCAGCCCCCTTCGACATCCTTTGATGCCCCCCCTTCGGAGCTCGACTTCTGGAGCTGCTGAGACAGCGAGCTTGTCTGCAGGTTGTCAAAACGTTTTGTCGTCGTTTGGCCCGTGCCAGAAAATGCATTTGCATATGTCTTGCCTGGGAAATGTTGCTCATACGACGTGTGTTCGCCTCGTCACCCAAACTGCTTGCTCGTATATGTGTGTTAGCACGTAGGAAAATCTTGCAGAAATTGGTGATTAGTTAGGTATTGCATTATGGGACCAGTCCTCTTTGTGACCTTTAATGTTATGTGAAAGCTACGTTCAGATATGTTAATTTTAATGCTGAGGCTGTCATTTCTTTTCAAAGAATTTTGTTTAAATAATTCAAGCAATATTATTTTTATATGCTTAATAGTTTTTTTTGCAAAATATGAAGTTTGGAAGATCTATTTAAATTTTATGTTGTAGTACATAATGTACTTTAAAATGATGTGCTGACTTGTCATTAAATTGAAATATAATTCAAATAAAATATTTAATAACTAACTTTATTGTATAACAAATTTATAATACAATTTTTAGTAAAAAACATTTTAAATTATGAAGTTAAATTTATTTCTTTATTTAACATGTACTTTACGGTATTTTGATTGCCAAATTTAAATTTTGCTAAGTATTATCTTCAAAAATAGCAATAGGTGAACCATGTTTTTCTCTGTATACTCAGAGCTCTCTGCCAAAATGTGTGTGTGTTTGTCGTAATTTGCATTTGACGCCTTGGCGCCGTTTTAATAGCTTTTCACGTGGCGCGGCAAACATTTTTGGAAACTTTGGGCGGCATCTTTGCGGCGCACAGCTCAAAGAACTCCTCGTACATCATCCAGCCAACCAAAACAATCATCCACCCTACACTTAGGCACCCGACACCCATCCCCAGGTCTATTCTCGAGCCCATTTCTTAGAGAAGGCGGCAGCAAATCATCTTTGTAAGCCCAAAAATCAATAAAAATCTACCAAGAGGGCGCAATAAAAATCTTCTGCATCATAAATTTCACTTCATTTACAGTTCAGTTTTCGGCGGCGATATGGAAACTTTTTCCAGCCTTATCCCGGCGGCATAAATTTGAGAATAATTTAATGCCCATCCCCCACCAGGCACTTCCTTTTGGTAATTTAAATTTGGATTTGATTTTGATTAAGTACTTGCCTATAATGGTGACGAGTATCATGAGTCCCAGGACGACGGCCATGGCGATCATTTTGACCAGTAGCCAGAACTCGACCGCCGCCCTCTGCTCTGCGTCCATGTCGAGAATGTTGCTGTTGCCATAACCGTTTTCGCTGCGATTCCAGATAATTTGGCTGAGATTGCTGGTCGTGTCCACCAGCTGGGTGAGATTGCCATTCAGCTCGATGAAGAGGCTCTCGTTGAGCAAAATGGCTGGCAGTTCTATTTCCAAAATGCTCGCTGGGACATTGTCATCGGCGGCGGCCATTGCTGTTGTCACAGTTTTCAGCATCTCGTGTGTATATATCCGACAGTATATATATATGTATATGTGTATATCTGGATTGGGGGCGTGTCAATGTGTGTGACTACAGCGCGATGTGTTGCTGCTACTGCTGCTGCTGCTGATGTTGCTGCTGTCGCAGCTGTTGCTGTTGACTCTGTTGCTGCTGCCGTTGGTGGTGTTGCTGGTGGTGCTGCTGCTGTTGCTGGCGTGCTTGTCGTTCGTGTTGCTGCCGTTGTTGCGGGTGATAAAGCGCCTTAATCGTGCTTGCCAAGCACTTAACACGTAAACTGCAAAACACAGGGCGGTTCGAGAGTCAATGGGGAGTCAGAGATGAATGGCAAACAAAGGAAGAGGAGAAGTCTATGGAAAACAAGAAAAAAAAAGCCTTAGACGAAATCATAATGTACCGCCGCCCTAAAATAACACAATTTTCCTTTTATTTTTTATTTCCCCAGTGAAGCCAAAGCGTTCGAATTAAGTCCACAACCATGATAAATGATGCTCGTCTCGACGCGCTCAGTTTACCTCGAATCCACCAATTAATTAATCATTTCAATCGAGCGAACTCTTTCACAAGTTTTTAACAAGCTGCCAACCCACTGTGAGCCCCTTGACCCCTGTCTCCTTATCTCGATTCGAGCTTGGAAAATCCCGCACACTTAAAAAATCATGTTTGGGATGGTTGGACTTACATCATTTACATTATAATTGAGTGATTTTAAAATTTCTTTCCATCGCAAAAATGCGCAGCGCAATAGGAGATATTAATCTAATTATTATTTTTGAACATAAATTGAATAAACAGAATCATTTGAATTTAAAAAATAAATAAATAAATAAACAAACATGTCATCGTTATAAATTGCTTAGAATCGACTTCAATCTTAAATTAATAGTCGAGTTTTTATGTGTTATGTTTAAGATCGACCTGAACGAATATTAAATAATATTTTACAAATACTTTGATATATTTTTTCTGTGTGCTGTTAATATTTTCCACGTGCTGACTTTATTTGTGCTATCAGCTTGTTTTGCTCAGTTCCATTTGAAATGTGGCTGCTAACACTTGGTTTCACGATGCAGCTCCTGCTGCTCATTTCGCTGCTTTTGCTGCTGCCGCTGCCCGGATTTTCCAGCGGAGTAAGGGAGCCCAATAGATACGATAGATACGAAGGAAACCCCGCTCTAAACCGCCCACGGAATCTGGAGCGAAACTAATGTGCATATCTGTGCTAAACGTTTTCTCAGAAATACAATAAACTATCGAATCGACGGGGCATCTGCATTCCTGCTTAACTCAGTCATGGAAGATGGCGGGGAGGGAGGTGGGTTCGGTTGTCACTTGGCCTTTGTGTGCCCAACACACACGGCCTGACCTTTGTCTGTGTCAAGGTGTCCCCAGGTGAAGGCAGTTAACCAGTCTGAAGCGAACACTCGGGCCAACGCCTGCGAAGGTCGCTTGATGGATTGCAGTCGGCGGCAATCTCCATCTCCGTTTGCAGCGAGTTTCGTGGAAATCCTCGCCCAACCCTCGCTGAATAGTGGCTGCTTTTGGTTGTGCCTCAACATAGACTAAAATGTTAATGGGAGGCACAGGAAACGGAAAGGGGAAAGGCGATGCGCCCAAGCAGCTCATGTGTGAGAAATATTTTCATAGTCAAGGTAATCGTCATCCGCCCAGTTCGCCTTTTCAGAGGTTTTCTTGGTCCCCAGCTGGAACTGCTATTAATAAATGCACTATAAATGTTTGTGCGCTTTGGAGTTCAAGGTTCGTTTAGGAATGCTTTCATAACATATTTGTTGCACTTTTTGTGTCCCAAAAGTATGCAAAAATAATTTTTATACATTTTAAAATACTATAGTTCACTGATTATAATTAATTCCCACTGAGTATCAAGCTGTGGGTATCTTGAGGTCGCCATCCTGGGCCATATATTTCTGCATTTTAATTATGAAAGCGAGTTGTTGCTTTCACACAGACACATTTTTTTTGTTATATACCAAGGTCGTGTACATGAATTACATACGCCCATACACACTGGGTGGAGTGAAAAAAAATGTGCTAACGTTTGCAACAAAATTCGCCTTAGGGGATAGTCGAAAAAAAAATCAAGAAGAAAAAAGGAAAATCGCGTCGGGCTGCGGTGGCTTTCCCCTGGCCTTTTTCCGTTCTACGAATCTGATTCAGAATGTGCCTCGAAGGCTTAACTCTTTCCCCGCAACACACACACACACACACACACACTGTGCTCATACTTGAATTAATTCATACTCTAATAAATATACAAAAAGTTCTGTTGAATGTCTGCTGCTGGCAGTGCTCTTTCTTTGTTGTTGCTGCTGCTGTTCTCGTTGTGTCAGCGTAATCTCTTAGCAGCCTTTTGGTTTTGATCACCCCGGGTCCACAGAATGACTCCTACAATATACCAATTAGCAGGGCGGGTGGGGGAGTTCAAATGTTAGTCGAATGTGGGAACACGAACAAACCCAAATGGGGTCATAACTCAGTTAGCAGCTGAATGGAAACAATGGATTGGCTCCAAAACAATGACAGAGTTCATGGACTCGTGTTGAAAACTTTATGGAAGATGATTGGACGACAGCAATTTGCACTCAAGTTACAAACTTGCCAGCGAAAAGTTTTCTCTAATGCAGTTGCCTAATTGCACCAACATGGCCCACCCAACTAATCAAGTTAAGAACCAATAAACTTACCCGAAGAACAGTACAATTGTGCTCAAAGCAAACCTGACCGAGAGCAAAAAATAAAGTTAAGGTTCAGACTTTTAACAGCAAGGGAAAACAAACAAAATGCACGAGTTCCCCGAGCGGTTTTCCTAGAACAAAGTGCAGTGGAAAAATCCCCCCCTGCTGGCCTTGTGGCATAAAATTCATATTCATTATACTCACACATAAGCATAATTATGTCCTTTCATTTTCATTTTGCCCGCTTCATTAGCGACGCTATGCCGCAGGTAGATTCGTCAACATAAATATTTATGCCGAGTTGTGACAACGATGACGACAGCAGCGGCGACCACGAAGGATATGAAGATGCTGATGATGATGTTCCCCACTTCCTGAGGACCTCACACACACACACACACACACAACTACACACAAACGGACAGCTTCCGTTCGGCTTGTTTGTGTGCGCCTCTTTGGCTGATTTGTATTTATCTTTTTTTGATTTTGTACTCAGTCTCGGGGTTTTTTACTTGTTTGCCTGCTAATTATGCGGGTTTCGCTTATTTTGGTTAGTTAATTATTCAAAAAAAAAGGTAAGTAGGTAAGAACTCGCGACTTGAAGGATTTAATTTAACGCTTAAACTGCTACTATACCCGTTTTACTTTTCAGAATTATGGATTTGATTAGTTTTTATTTCGGCTTTCAGTCTTTAGCGTTGGGTGTTTCGAATTGGAAATGTTTTAATAATTTTTAGACACCCAGCTCGGCGTTCTTTAAACGGTTCGGCAGACGCGTCGCGTCCTGAGCGTAACTATTGACAAACTGCTTCAATGTGGCCGTTTCAAGTAGACGGAATCACCGAAACCAGCTGATTTTCCTGTAGACTTTTCCGGCCGACGCAGGCGCCGCAAATTGCTCTCTTATACGCAAATTTTTGGCAAGTCTCCACGGCGGCGAATTTAAGAGAAACACTTTTCGAATTCGAATTCCCATTTTTGCTCTCGCCGCTCTTCGCTGCCTGTTGAGTTTCGAGTTTTCAACGCAATTATTTTTGGAAATTAAGCCAGGGGAAATGGGAAAATCTGCCGTCCTCGGTTCTGCCTCAGTGCGTTTCCGCTAATGGATGCAAACAAAACGCAACTGCGGACAATGCAAGCTCCACAGTACACAGACCACTGGACATGCTCCGCTTTTAATATATCTAATGCACGTTCCAGGGCGGCTAATGCGCATTAGGCCTTTGTCCTGGTTATTGGCAGTTTCGATAGGTTCGCCCTCTCGCCGTCGATTTGATGGCCATTTCTATGCAGCGGCCGTAATGCGAAACATTCCGGACTTCTCGAGTTGGTCAAACTGCTTAGGCGTTTGCCTTTTGACTTCCGCTGCCTTTTGTTAGTGGCTGAGGACCGCAGGAACAGGACTCGGACTTCGACTTCGACTTCCACTTTGGACAGGATCAGGACCAGAAACAGTCCGGGGCATCGTAAATTAGCAGCGGTTTATTGCCAGTACGTGACATTTTGGCCCCGTTCCGGCGTCTGTATTTTCCTCGGCAATAATTACGGCCTTCATTTATTTGCCTGCTCGGGTTTTCCCTGCTTTTTCCTGTCTCTCAAGTTGCTGGCTTTGTGGCTTGCGGCTTGAGGCCCGGACTTGCCTACCGTATTTGCTGAACAATAAAACATTGATTGTTGCAATTGGTTGGCCATTGCGCATACGACGCGTGGGCCCAGATTGAAGCCATCCTGTGGCATTATGCCCGCAAAGAGTGCAATTTATTTCTATGACCGGAACTATCTTTATGTACGCTTAACTAACTATCTTTGTGCACTTACAAGACCCTCAGGTCGCACACATTTAATATTTTTTAAGCATCATACTAATGAGCCAGAAACTTTAACTGTACACAAGACCTCCTCCGTGGCAGCCATCACGTAAAACTCCCATTGTGTGGCTCCCAGTCCCCCTTTCTCGGTTGGGGCTTATGCGTGTTGTGCTGGGGAGCGTTAAGCATTTTCCAGTGCGTGACATGCGGCCCCTCCAAGCTGCATCTACACGGAGAAAAAAAAGGTATATCGTTTACTATATTTAAATATTCCATTAAATGCAAAAACAATCCATTAGAACTTTATATGTTGTAATACCTTTTCTTTCTTCACAACCATTTGTTGCACCAGTGATTTAGAACATTAAATAATACATATTTTAATTTTCTACTAATATTTTAAAAATGTTTATTTTGTGCTCCCATGTAAATCACTAAATTAAATATCAGCTTAAAAACAGTTTTAAATATTTCAAATAAATTAAGTTATTTTAATTATTCGTCTGAGTTCTGAATAAATACTTTTTTATTTCTCTCATAAATTCCGAGAATAGACTTATATTTAAAATGTTTAAAAATATTTTCAGAATAATTATTGATAATTTTTTGGCAGATTACACTAACATGATAAACAAATGTAAGTTTAAGAATAAAATGCTATTAAATTTTTGCCAGAAAAATAAAGAACAAAAATTAGATATTTGTATTATGACTTAAATATATTTTTCTCAGTGCAGCAAAAGCAAGGACAAAGTGCAAGCTGCAGCAGTGAAGGTTGTTGACTTTGCTCAATGCTTGTGTCATTGTTTCAAATGGCTGAAAGTTAAGCGAAAATCTGAAATAATTTGCCATTATAAATGGCACGGAGATAAGCAGCACCGTCAAGTTGCGAGTTGGGGGGAAACCGAAGACCAAAGTTCGACAGCATCATCACTTCATCGAGGATTCGACTTTTATGTGCGAGCGCAATAAACTTGCTCCGTCACCATGCATAACATAATAATTATAATAAAAACAATTTTTTTGCATTTTACGAGACGCATAAAATGGTAGCATATTCCCCGGCAGACAGGCTGACCAGAAAAAAAAAGCAAGAAGAAAGGAATTTACTGATGAATTGCGGTTTAGTTTTATGAGATGCCCCGACAAGATACACGATATGTGTACTATATATATATATATATATGTATGTATGCTTAAGGGCTGGCTGTGTGTGGCAGTTCTTGAGCCCTCAATATGAGACAGTTTTATGAGCAGCCAGGAACAAAGCCGCGGCGGCTATGTCAACATTTTATGCGACTTTAATGCTTTGTTTGTTAATAAAATCGACAACAGTCGAGACGTTGGCTTCGTTACGAGAGCTGTCACTCCTCCCCGGCGTTTTATATAATTTTAATGTGCGCACTTTGACACTTTTAATGAATCCCAAACATTAATTTTCTTAATGAGCGCGCTCATTTAAAGCCTAGGTCCTAAAGCATCCCGTTGACAAATGCCCGCCAGGCCATTATTAAACGTAGTCTACTGCGATGACAGTGCGAATGACAATGGTCCGGCAATTTCCTCTCCAGCTTAATGAAGTTTGAACAAAAAGCCATTGGCCCCGGCACTTGGCACCCGGCACCCGGCATCCTGCACCCTGCTCCCGGGGCGCAAGCATACACACATGACTGACACTGTCCGGCTTAATGAGCCGCACTAAATTCACACGAAACTTTCCGGCCAAAAGGGATCTCTCTCCTTTCCCCAAGAGCGTGTGGCAACTATTTATCGCCGCTGCCGGACAAATGTTCTACACTCGGTCGACTGGCAGGAATTTATTGACACACTCAATCGAACGCTCTGATCGTAATCCCTTTTCCAACACAAGCCCCCTGCCAAGCCCCCTCGGAAAAGTTAAGTCAAGTTTTCCTCCATTTGTTTGTTTGTTGTTCTCCGCTTGGGCTTTGTTGCCAAAAGTTGCGGCCAGACTTTTGGGGGTCAAGTGAAAATGTTATTTACTTTCATTTAGATTGTTTATGTTGGTTTGCTGGCGAAACTAAAACTTATGGCTATCTATTCATTCAATGATATGTCATTTCCTTGATCGCCGCAGTCACCTAAATCATTGATCTCATGGGAGAAATCTTCAGGAAGGGAAAGTTTACTTTCTGACGGGGCTGAAGGTTACGGAATCTCATGGATATGAAATACCTCAGAAGAGGCTTTTTCCTCATCGGGAGCAGTGGGATCGAAAACCGAAGTAGTTTCCTTAGTTTGAAGGGATCCCTGGTCAACGAGATCAGCTAGTTTATGAATTTCATTGTAGTGTAGTTCTTTCATTTCAGGAATGTTTTCTAGCTGATTTTGATTGGTCAATTTCTGCTCTTTCTCATTTTCCTTTTCAAAGACCTTTTCCATATCCTTCTGAGCAGTTGTTTTAGCACCAGCTGGCTGTGGATCTAATCTGCGGTCATCAATAACTTCTTCTTCTGAGACCTCAACCTCTGAATCCAAATGCAACCCAGACATCACATAAATCATGGCCAACATCGATAGTCCAATGTAAGCTGCAATTAAAAATATTTTTATTTATTAGATCAAATGTTTGTTAATAAAATAAAGATCCTCACAATCGATTACAATGTTGGAAATACGGAACAAACCGCTATTGACTAGCCAAAAATCATCTTCGTGGTAATATATGTGGTATATCCGGAACATTAGAAGGGCACCTGTTTCACACATCCAGTAGAAGACTGACACACACTCCCTTTCCACAATCCTCATCATGGTGATCACATTAAACATCACATTGAATCCGTACAACAAGACCCACTTGAGGGGATAATCTGAGGGGATTAGTAGTTTCATCAGTTAATTCTGGGGCAGAAAGCGAATCACCCACACTCACTGGCAAGGGAATTGACGAGCTCCACCACCCAGAATATGAACAGGAAGAAGGAGTACACGACATTTATGCAACCCACGGCTAAGCCCCAATCCGCCCGATTCATAAGGCACTGGCACATCATAAACTTCACATAAGCTGCGTCCATTTTATTCAAATGCTACAAATTGACTGGCAGTCGGAACAAAAACTTGTGCTGGCATTAAAAGTTTCCAGGGATTTCGTTATCGCTCACTAAAAATGCATAATTGGGTCGAAACTCCCATCGCTCCATGTACATACATGCTATACAAATTAGAGTGGACTTGAAATTTTTGGGAAATTAAGTTTAGTAAAAGTGGAAAACAATTTGTTTGTAACATAAACATAGCAATAAACTTTACGGCTTATTGCTTGTAAATTGACTATTTTTATAGTCATTATTAATTTGTGAAGCTATAGAGTAAAATGTAGTATCTAAATAAAATATTCAAAGTTATCTTGCTTTAGCTAATTAAATTTTTTGATTGAGCTAGATAATGTAATGCAGTGATTGAGCGGTTTCTTTTGTTTGCGAATTTCGAAAGTGCACTATTGTGCAGTGCAACATAATATTGAAGTACCTCAGATCCCATAAAACCCAGTCATATAAGTTTCGCTCTCAAAGTCCCTGTCCGTAGTGAAATCAAAAATTAAAACTGCAAAATTTTTGCCAGAGCAAGAAAAGTTCATTTGTGCTCTTTGTGTTTACTTAATCCATAAACTGCTGAGAATGGTACTAGTAGTGTGAGTGCGTATGTGTGTGTGAAGGGGTGTGTGAACGGCTGAGGGGGAGGGGGTAGAGGATGGGGGTAGAGGGGTCTTTCCCCTTTGGGCCACTTGAAGCCAACGTGACAACATAAAACGCAGCAGCTTCGCCTTTTTATGTGCCAGAAAAGGCAACAACCAAACTTGTTGTGAAATATTAGAGGGAACGATATGAAAATGCAAACCGCAGTAACCACCAAGAGTCCTATATAGATGTTTCTGTTGATGTTGGTGCGGCTGCATCAGTGTGGGTCCTGGGGTGTCAGTGTGTGCGCGAGTGTGCCAGTGTGTGTGTGCAGTGGAAAGTTTAGTTGAGTTCAGTTTAGTTAACTGCAGCAGCAGCATCGTACGTACTTGATTGCTCTGCCGCTGCTGTTGCTGCTGCTAGCTGGTTGCAGTTTTTGGCCCAAACCAGAGATCTGCAACGAGTATGATCGAGTCAACTCGATCAGCGTGCCCAAATTTCGCTCAATTCAACTCAACTCATTCTGCAGAAATGTGATTGTGAGTGATGCACACCCGAAATAAAAATTCGGAGAATAATCATGCTCGTGCATCATTTTGCTTTTGAGTTCTTTTAGCTCATCGTCGCTCTTCGGGTCGATCAACATGCTGATTTTTTGCTTCGTGTTCGAGTCCATGAAATGAACGTTGCCAAACTCGCAATCATCTCGAACCGATCATGATCGATTCGATTTAGTGGACGATGTGAATGAGTTGATTGTGAGTAAGACTAAAATACTCGAGTTGATTGCGATCAACAAATAAAATGAAAAGGCTAGTTGCTAGTTGGAGGATTAAATGAACAAGTTTTTATTTTTCATATTAGGTTCAAATTAAAAAAATTAAATTAAAAAATAAAAAAATTTAAAAATTAATTCATATAAAAAAATAAAAAACTATTAACAGCAATATTCAATATTCTTGTTTTCAAATGTACATATGTAGTCTTAAATCTAAACTAAGTATTATAATTTTTATAATAAGAATTTAGAAAAAGCAAACTGTCAACTGATCGTGGCTCCAATCGGTTTCGTTTTTCTGTAATAATGTTTCCAGCCAATGAAAAAGATCGTTCAGCTGCCGCACTGCTAGCTGGAATTGAATGTATCTGGATCGCTAGTTTTGACAACAAGGGGTATTTATTTTGTTTACTTTGCCACCATTCAATTAAACTAAATTTGTAGTCTATTTCAACGAATTCCTTGCAATACTTTTCAAGTTCGTCTTCGGGCGTTTCTTGGATTTTTTAAGTTCGATGGTTTTATTAAATTTGGAAAAAAGAAAGCGTCGTTGTTTTTATCAGGTGCTGCGGCTTGTATAGTCGAATTTAAATCAGTTATCTCACTGCCGATAGCATCAAAAGAAAAATTTGATGTCGAAGCAAGTGAAGGTGTAGATTGACACGAAGACCCAGTTTCTGTAAGCAACGCAGTATATGAATTGTCTATCATGCGCGAAACACAGAATCTTTTAATTTCGGCGATGTCATCTGGTTGCATATTCAAAGCTGGTGGAAATAAGAAATATGCAGCTTTATGCCACAAACTTAAATTGGGAACCCATATTTCATCAATGTTAACAAGGATATTCTCCTTTAAAATCGAAATTGATATGACATCTTCAGAATTTGGCGCACAAAGGCTTTGAATTTTTAAAATAGATGGAAGAACATAACACAATGATGGGGAACTACAAAGTTGAAGTTTCTTAAAAATGATTTCAAAATTCTCACACATTTCAACCAGAGCTGTAGTGGTGTTTATATCTATAGGCAGCAAAAGCTGGCTGTGATCATTGTTTTTTAAGACGCTGTTCATTTCACCCCAATTTTCGATTATAGATTTAAGCATTCTATAGTGCGAGTTCCACCTTGTCGGACATTGGCTTTTTAACGAAGTAGGTAAAAGATGCTGTAAATTCGCTTTCTTAAAATATTTAACCACCTTTTTGCACGATTCTAAGATTCCTGTTAGCTCTTTGGTGCCATAAAAAGATTTGTCTAACACATTTGAGAATAAGTGGCTGCTACAGTTTAGGCGAATATTTTGTTCCAAAGCTTTGACCATATTGGAGCCTCTATCAGTAATGAACTTAATATTATCAATACTTTGAACATTAAATTCCATGAACAGGCTTTTAAGTTTTCGCAAGACATTGTCACCTGTGGATCTTTGGAAATCCATTGATTTCATGACCAAAACAATATCGAAAAATTTAAACTCCTTTTGGTAATGAAATGTAACGCCTAGAAAATTCCTTTTTACGTAGTTGTCGGTCCACATGTCGATTGTAGCTGAGGCTCCACCGCTGCTTACAATGTCAATTATTTCCTCCTTAATATTTTGTTTTTTCTCTGTGGCGCACTTCTTAACCTTTCGAGAAATTGTAGTGGGATCCGGTAATAAGTCTTCCAAATCGATGTGTTCACCATAAGTGGCCCCGATCTTGATGAAAAATTGTACTAGCTTAAGAAAGCCAGATCCACGCACAGCTGTAAATGGTCGACAGTCTTCCGTTATCCACGATGTACATTTTTCTATGGCCTCAGACTTGTCCAAAGCGGAGACACATTTTAAAGGTGATGTCTGCTTAGTTAATTTGCAGCAGCTATGTCTGTTTAAATTAGATGTTTGGCTTGCGGTGTACTTTAGAACCTTGGAGCAAGTGCGGCAGAATACGAATCCGGTCAATATGGTGTTGTCTGGCTTTACAATTTCTGCCAAGACATTCCAAATTAAACTGCGTCCTTTACGTTTGGCAGATAGTGTGTATGTGCCATGTGTAATTTGCTCAGCAACACTTTCCATGTCCATTTTTTAAAAACTTTACAAATTAATGCGTGCCGGCGAAAAAGTCAAACAACGCGTGCCACAAAACTCAAAAAGTGGCACGAGCCAAAGTCGATCAAACCGATCTCAGACGAAAAGTACCGTACGAAAAAACCACTCATGTAAACCATCCGAACACAAGCGAACCCAAATATTTGATCACAACAATCATGTATGAGAAATGTTGCACTCACAAACGATCATGCCTGCGGTTGAGAACGATCACACACGGTCATTGATAAGCTTTGATCGTTTGATGCAACATAAATGTTCACTCACAACGTTCGCTCACCGCTCATACTTTTTGGATCAAGCGAAGTGATTGAATCATACCAGATACGAGTCAATGATCGGGTGTACCCCAAAACGTTTGACTCGTTGCAGATCTCTGGCCCAAACCAATGAACCACATAATGCGGCTCACCCACACACACACACGCTGCGTTCAAGTAAGCGTGTAAATTATTTGAATTATTTATGAGTTGCAGCAACAGCCGAAATATGCAAAGGGCTTAAAGCCGGGAAAACTCTGGACTGGCAGCCTGGTGATATTGCAACTGTAAACTACGTACTTACTCAGCGTCAAAATCAAAACCTCTCAAAGCGAAACGCTGCACGGAGGAAATTACGATATCAATTCTGAATTTTTACATATCAGTCACTAAAATATAATAAAGGAAATAATGGTACTAAATCTAAATTTTTACTTATCAATCGCAAGATTATAAAAGCAATATAAGTTTGATTTACTTTAAAAGTACCTTATTATTGGCTTTTTTAACTGCTTTAAAACAAATTCCGAATGTTTTTAAACGAAAGCCAACCACAAATTTCAAATGAAATTTGTTTTTATTTGTATAATAAAATTTAAGATAGTTTGTTTAATTTGGTTTGTTCAAAAAGTTTGTTTTTTTTTAAACGATATTTTATCCATTCATGACGAGTGACCAATATTTAATAAAAATCAATAATAAATCTATTAGTTTAATAATAATAATAATAATTGCATTATCCTTTAGGCTTAGATATTTTTTGATTTTTATTCTTCAACCATTGATAAGCTTGTGGTAATTCTGATATCCCAAAAATTCCTTGAATCCAATAAGACAACTTGTGTTAGTCAAATTCTTTTTCCGTGTGGAGAATCAAAATAAAGCAATTTTTAATTAAAATCAATAAATAAACCTATAGCTTTAAAGGGGTTTGTCCAAATAATTGTGTTATCCTTTAGGCTCAGATATTTTTTGATTTTTATTCTTAAGTCATTGATAAACTTGTGATAATTCTGGGATTCAAAAAATTCCTTGAACCCCATAAGACAACTTGTGTTAGTCAAAATCTTTTTCCGTGTGGCGAATCAGAAATAAAGTCTGGAAATCGGGACACAGAATGAGAGCCAGTGGAGCGAACTTCAATTCCCAGGGCGCTGCTTAAACGGCCGACGACATCCGAGGGCCCAGCGATTTGATAAATGTGACGCAATTGAAGTTTGCCGGGAAAAGTTGTTCGGTCAGCTAACTGTAAATGTTAA